TACATCTGAGTTACTTTTGATGTTTTGATTGTAAAGAAGTGATATGAGAGATGGAATCTGATTGGCCAATAGGAGGGACATAGAAGGGACATAACTCGTGATAGCCACTGGTGACGGTACGATCGAGCCCAGAAATTCCAACATTGTTCGGGATGGGTGGAAACTGGACTTTAGAAGTCAGTTAACTCCCTTGCCTCGGAAGGTTTTGAAGAATCTGTCCCGGGTATACTATCTGCTAGTCTTCGTCAGTGATAGCATGGATGGCAAACTACTCAGTGTCCATGGTGATATCTTGTGTATGGTTTGTTTTTGTTTGTTTTTTCGAGTCTGGACCAGACAATCCAGTGATTAACGATCCACGCAATTGGTATACGATGACCTTCATCAACCAATTCAACGAGCCTGACCACTCGATCCCGTTAGTCGCCGTTTATGACAAACATGGGTTGCTGAAGACCTATTCTACACCCTGTGTCTGGGTACTCAGTCTCATACCCATGGTGGCGATACTCACTAATGTCTACATGTTGTTACGAGGGGGGATTTCCAAACTGATACGCAGAGGTTTACCTAGACTTACATCTAGTCTCTGGAATGAACATATATTATACGAAAAACATTTGTTACATTATTGTTATAAAATATAATAAAAATGAGCCCAGAGACTTTTCTTCATTTTCAGAATACTGATAATGCAGTTATCTAGACTTGCCAAACATTATAGACTTGCATGGGCTGTATTGGATATTTTTGTTTCCGGGTCTGTATGACAGACTAAGGTCTACCCAGAAATCGATATACATGTACACAGAACTAAATTATGAAAGCAGTAAATGACCATACAAGATCAATAAATAATCAATTTATCATATTCAGATTAAGGTTTTCAGACACTCAGATTAAGGTTTAATACAAAATGCAATAGAACTGGGTACAAAGAAATAGTAACAGCAACAAAAATAGTAAACAAACCCTGGAATCTTAGTGCGTTCACTAATGTTCAGCATATTGTCAGTGTTGAAGTCATGAAAGAGGACGACTCAGTCCTGGAACCCAGAATAGTGTTGTAAGCTGTCGGGGCCCTGTTCCACAGCGCGATCTTAGCGGTAACCTAATGTGCTCTGTCACTGTGTGCAGAGATTAATAGATTGACAAATAGAATCACGTGGCTATACATGTGGCGGGTCACAGCCTCTCTTTAGTCATACAGGACTTCCGGTTCTGAGCAGATCAAGTATTCCGTTTTTAATGTACTAGTCATTCTTGGAAGATTCCACACCCAACTATTAGTCCGGTCCCAACTGGGAGAAACAGATCGTGTCTGACCTGTGATGAGTAAAGAAAGCTCTCAACTTTTTTATTGTTTTTCTGCTATCGTATTTATGGATTTAACTATGACTTGCACACCGTCTGTGAAAGTACCACCTTCTTTAAACAGGGAATTGTACATATAGAGCGGGCCCTTGTGCTTACAGAAACTTGTTCGATAAACTAGTTTGACACAGTATTAACGAAACGTATACAAAATGCGTTATTGTAGCTTTTGGGCCATCCTCTTAATAGTTTCAGTGTGGAGTTTTTGATACCTAAGTAAAGTATGAAAATATTAAGATTTTAAACTGACGTGGGAATACGATTATTAGTCATATAGCTGGAATATTGCTGAGTGTGGCGTTAAACAACAAACAAAACAAAAAAAGCATTTGTGTGAGTGAAACAAAACCGGAAGATATGGGGTTCGTTTCCTTTCATCACAAGTATAGGCGACTTCAACACTAAACTGCCTGATGTAACATGCTGTGCACATGTGCTCGGATTATGAGTTGTGGGCGAGGAACGGTAATGAGATTGATTATTTGACTTATGTATCAGATCCGTTCCTTACAGTGTGAATAAAATAGTAAGGTGGGTGTAACGGATATTAGACCAGGGGGACCAGTAATTTGCTAAACATTAGACCCTTGTTACGTGCTGATCTGTAATTATACTCATCTTGATCCTACTAAATACATAATTGGGCGGTCAGGTGTGGTTTAAGCGTTCGCTCGTCACGCCGAAGACCCGGGTTCGATTCCCGACATGGGTACAGTGTGTGAAGCCCATTTCTGGTGACCCCCGTGATATTGCTAGAATATAACTGAAAGCGGCGCAAAACCAAAGTCACTCACTCATACATAATTATGCTCAAGGTGACAAGTAACTGTTATCATATACACCTATTGACCTCTCAAATGAACACGCTCCGTAATACTCTTCACAGTGACAATGGTTCTTACAAAGTGCAGACTTGTGACATCGCATTACAGACAAAGTTTAGAGTGATGATAACACATTAATGTAGACCCAACGTATTGCAAAATAGTGCATACAAGCCATGTCATATGGGTTGGTGGGTGAGTTGGGTTTCACGCCGCTTTTAACAGTATTCCAGTTATATCACGGCGTGTCAGCTTAATGTGTGAGGAAAGCCCAAGTGATGCAGGTCTCAGACGTTTACCAC